TGTGTGTGGTAAGTTGGATCACGCAGTCGATGACAAAAAAAGAAGTAGTGGGATTAAGCAGAGCCGCTTTAGTGCCCGAGAATTGGATATGAAAACCTAGAGGTTGGATGTGTCGTATCCACCAAGCAACTCAAAAGGGATGGACCGCTCAAAAGGTTGAATGGTGATGAATCTGCAACCAAATGAGAACGTTGGAATGCTTATGAGTTTTGAACCCTAGGGAGGTTAGCAAGCCAAGAGGGAGGAAATGTCCTATTTTATCAACCATGATATTTTAAGGGTTGAGAAAGAGTTGTTATTAATTTGACCCAAAAGTAAGATGAGGTTAACTTGTAATCTAGTAATTGATATTTCACGAGTGAAAGTTGAAAACCCCAATCAGGTGGCATGCAACAACCATGGGGGTTACTCAATGAACGCAGGAAGAGGAATCTTAAGGTTTCACTATTAGATTACCTAAGGTAAATAAGGGTATGGTAAGGACTTCAATTATGTAGAGACAAATATAATTACCAAGTGAACTCACTTGTTGTAAGTGAATTTGTCATCAAGTTACTTTAGTTAGCTAAAGATTAGTATATGAATAGTGAATTTGCATGAGGTCAGGAAGCACCGTGTTATCATAGGATCAGAAGTATGCCTCACACTTTTGGGAAATGTTATACCATTATTCACGGGGGAGTATCAAATCAAGGAAATCTACGATCTAGAACAATACTCAAGGGGCTTAATGGTACTAAAAAAACTAATTGTCGGAACACTGATCATAACATGATTTATTTTATATGAGCACAATGTGGATAGGGCGACGACATCATCGAAGTGGAAATAGTAGGGGGAGATAACTTTACTACTCAGTTGGTGACGAGCTAAGGTACATGTAGAAGACATGCATGTCAAGATATGTACTCCTGATCGTAAATTAAGATACACCACTGCAACTTTATAGATGCGTAGTGGGACGTTGATGATACATACATTATGCTCGACTACAAAGGACTCATTATGGTTAGGATTTGTGAGTCGTAGATAAATACATGACTGACATGACATTTCTATAGTGTGAAGGTATGATGATTTATTCTGATAACCTAAATAAGAGAGGTGAAGTATCTCTAAAGCCCTCTTAGACATGATACATATGTATTTACTAGGATACCAAGGTTAAAGGTGGGAGAGTTTTAGATGCCTAAATTTGGAAAGGATGACGTTTCCATAAGAAACTGATCCTTGAATAATCTAAAGTGTTTTAGCAAGAAACCAAAGGAACTTAGGATTTGATAGAGAACTTACCAGGCAATATCTAATAATAGAAACAAAAATAGAATTAGAGAATACCTCAAGAAATTTATATGTGTCGCAAGTCATATTGTGATGTGATGCAATAAGACCTGGAACTAGTAGGATTACACAAAGATTTATCTAACAAGGAACTTGAGATTGATCATGTTAATCTTTAAGTAAATATGAAAATACTCTTATCTATACCATGTAAGCAAGATGCTCTGAGATAAACACATGGGGAAGTACTGATTGATCATGTAGATGAATTGTGACTCCACGGATAAGTTAAAGAAGGTAGTGGAAATCAGAGTATTAACTTAGGCGGCAAGTAAAATTGACTCAACTTGTAGCTAAAGGAGGGGAATATGTCAGTCAAACCTCAATGAGATAGGAAACACCCTAAGAACATACATGTCTGAGACTGCGTGTTTGACGAGAAGTCCTGAGGATGGAATCATAAAACCTACATTAGTGAATGTCTTGCACATGTGGAAAATAATTAGGGCAAAATCCATAGTGGGAACTTTCATTTTCAAGCACTCTAGAATTGCACACCTTGCAGAAATAGATATGGTTAAGTTTCCTAAGAAAGCTATGGGGCTATATGAAGAGTCGTATGACTCATGTGTTTGAATGGCGTAATTATATTTGGCCAGGGAAGTTAATAAGTTGGGTGAATAAGTATAATAAATTAGTGATGTCTCAAGCTAGAATTGATGGATCCGAATTGACCAAGATTTTGGACTTTATTGCTACATCGAGGAATGGGTTAAAAGATGATGTGTCAACTATGCGAGTGCACATGGATTATTGGATGGTGTACCCTGAAGTGGGAAAAATTATTAGTTAATAAGCTAGAATCAAGTCTGATAGAGTAAATGACTAAGTGAGTTATGAATGCATAAGAGTGAAACTCATAAAATCCAACGGAAGTATGCGACCATATGGAATTAGAGTAACGCATCAGACGAGAAAAATTCCTTGTAATTGAGAATAATCATGACATCGATTTAAGATTCTCCAGCAGTCGACATAGTTGAGTAAGGTGAAATTGGAATTGTAGGAATCAAGTATTAATTTGTTCTCCATTAAATGATGAAACAATCAGATATACAACTGGCAAAGTAGTCGTAAATGAAGCAAGTCCTTGTTGAAAGAATACGAACTTGTTACGAGTAGTTGAAGTCTAATATATTAGAGTATAAAGATACTATTGGCTTGAGAGAAACACAAATTCCAAGGATGATATTGAGTCATACGCAATATCATTATAAGAAGAGTATGTGTCGAGATCACTATGAAAAGTGTTTTGGCACTTTAGGATCTTCCACATCAAAGACAAAGGGAATTTTAATGGTAAAAGTAGCTAGTGGTTGATTGTGGATGGTACGAAAGTAAGTAAGAAGAACATGGGATGAAGGAATGCCGAGCGGAAGAACGTGTTTTGCCTGTAGAAGTGAGATATTTTGCGTATTTCAAGAAGTTTCATTGTAAAATTTTGGGATTTACACCATGTCGAATCATAAGGACCAAGTTGAAAGAAAAATTAATGGAAAGACGACGATGGACGTTATACTTTTAACCTAGAGATGAAGATAGCCGTAAGATTGAAAATCAAGTTACAAAGATTCAAGTCGACAAAAGAATTGGACGAAGTTGGGAGCATGACATTAACGTATCACACAAGGGACATACGCGAAACACGAATTTTATGGACATAATTATTTTAAGGAGGAGAGATATTGTAATATAATGATCCGAAATAATAATTGGAAACGCATTTACGTGCCTACCAATTGGTTATAAAGGCCTATGTGTAAAATGATAATTTTACCACCGAAGGCATTTTAGTAAAATCCCAATTAGTCCACATGGTTTATGAGATCAATAAAAGACTTAGTGTGGTTAAGATCATGATTAAACCACCCATCAACTCTATTGAACAAGTAGGCATAAGGGAAATTACACTAATTAAGTGAATATGCATAATTTGGCAAAACTTATATTTATATTCTAACTTAGAGAGGAATTCGGAATGAGGAACTCACTCTTCTCCTTTAGTTATTGGAACACGTGAGAAGAGAGAAAGAATAACGGAGCTCTCAAGTTCACAATCATCCCCTTCCATCCACAAGCCATGCTTTGAAAAAGGAAGAGGAAAATATTTCCACCATAGATGTAGCAAGGTAAATGCTTTTCTACTCAATCATGTCTCTAGTTATAGATTAACAATTCTCTAACCTTCACCTTTCTCAATTGCAAGAATTACCATTGTTGAGAAATCTTACCATGAACCCACTTGATGGGAAGCTTGAATCATGGTAGATGAAAGTCAAGGAGAACAAAATTGTGGCATGCATGCTAGGATATTAAAGAATCATCATCATCTCTAGGTTCTGCATATGGTGAGTTCTGATCCCTTAAGATATAATTCTTCCCTTTAAATTCTAACTTTAGATTGTTCAATGCATATGTATATATCAATTAGGGTTTAACTATTTAAATGACATGTTGATCAAATATGCTGAGAAATGTTGTGATTTAATGTGTTCACCAAAGTTCTTTGATGCTTAGAATCGCGAATGATGATTATGAATGTTTCTAGTAGATTAGGAATGGATTTTGAGCCATAGACAAATGTAATTTTTTATTCTGGACGAATTGCCAATTGATTCTTATTAGTGGGTAATCAATTATCCAACAAAAAATTAACATAACTTAGCTGAGAAGCTCTGTTTCAGGCGAGATTATTTGTCACTTCTACAAATTATAGTGAATATAAAAAGTAAGTATTGATTGAGAATTTAAAAGTTTTTAGAAAGACGATGTTAAAAGACAAAAATATGAATTTTTGAAAACGTTTTACCTAGCAAAACAAAGATACCTATTGATTGATAGTGTGTTATTAGCTTAGAAAGGACATTTCATTGAGATGCAAAGTGAGAATCCCACTTGAGCCAAGGACATAGTTAGAAGCATTATGTGTTGAATTCTAATTGCGTAAACATCCTTAAATAACATATACACGTACCATGTAAATGACCATTGACCATGTTTACGTATATGAGAACATACCTAGATAATATATACGAAAATTAAAGTTAAATTATCTTTGGCTGGACATGAAACATTAAAAAAATTATAGTGCATGCTATAGCTTCACCTATAGATAAAGATGAATAACTTTTTGTTTCTTTTATTTTTCAATCTATTTAAGAAACAATTGCACTGTCCATCATATTGAATACAAAATTAATATTGCCACGTAGTATTCAAATTACAAAATTTAACTACCTATTAACTAATGAAAAGGGTGTCAATATATCATTTCTCTAACAACATCTATAACAATTTAGTTTTTATTTTTTAACTTTCAAATATTTTTCTCAAAAAATAAACACAATCTACCGATATTACCCTTACTCGAATCCGTGTCCCGCATCCGTCACTCTCTTCACGTCTGTCAGAATGTGACTCTCGCACACACACCGACCACCGTATATTCATTTCTAAAAAGTAAAATAATAATTAATCAAAAAACAATAAAATAATAATAACTCTCTCTCTGTACAATTATACATTTTCTTTCTCTCTCTCTTCCATGGTGGAGCACGGAGGAGCCAAACTCGCCGGAAGAACGAAGAAGATCGAAAAACTATCACAAAATCCAGCATCTGTGAATAGCTGACAGCTGAATTCGTTTCAGAAGAAGAAAAATGCCGCTCTCGAAGTACCTTATACGGAACGAGTACAGCTTGGCGGATCCCGAGCTGTACCGCGCCGCCGACAAAGATGATCCCGAAGCTCTTCTCGAAGCCGTCGCCATGGCCGGTCTCGTTGGACTACTGCGTCAGCTCGGCGACCTCGCTGAGTTAGTTTCGTCTCTTGTTTGTTATTTGATTTATCGATTCTGATTTGTAGTTTCCTTTAGCAATTCCATTCTTAGCTTGATTTCTTAGTGCCGAATTTAGAAAGGAATAATAAATTTTTTTGAGTAAGTTTAATTAGGTGAGATTTTGTGATTATTTGACTTGATTTTATTCTGTTGCTGGATTTAGTAACTGTTCGTTGAATTATGGATTAGTGGAATGTATAGATGATAAATTTGGTGGATGATTGTTAATTTTGTTATGATTTGATTATGGATTTTGATTTTTTTCTTTTTATTGAGCGGTTGAATTTTGTATGTGTAGAATTTTGAAGGGATAAAACTAGTTAAATGAAGAAAATGAGTGGTTGTAGTGTGCAGATTGGATTGGATTGGTTTGAATGTGGTTGACTGATCATTGACTTGACTTTAAATCATGAAACATCAGAGTTCCTGATAGGTTTATGTCTTACTTTGATCAATTTGAAAAGTAGGGTGTTGGAAAAGTGTTTTCTGTTTTTGAGTTTTTCGGAATCAGATAAGGAGATAAGTGGACCATTATTAATTGGATAATATTATGTAATTACATTGCATCGGTTAATGTGGTTTTTAAGAAAGATCTCGAGATTAACAATTTGGATAAAAGCATGATCCTGAATAGAACATTATGGCAGAAGTTGATCCATGTAGCCGACTCCACTTAGTGAGATAAAGTTTGGTTTTTGTTGTTGTTGTTGGTTAATGTGGTTTTTGTAATGGGGTGTGTTTGAGGATATTAAGGCTTAATCTTAGGATCTTTTATGCACAACATCCTCAACAATCACCTGAGCAAACCCTTTGTGGCTTAATCTTGGGAGTTTAGTTCAAGTAATTGTGAGCAAAAAATGTATGTATCTTGCCAGAGCTGTGATACTTTGTTATTAATAAGTTGGTTCTAATTCTCAGAGTTCCACTGAATTTGTTTCCTTTCATTTTTAGCGCTGGCAATTTTAACCTGACCTTGAGTTTTGTCTTTTTAAATTAGAATTTTTTTACAGTCATCAGGTGGTAAGTAATTAGGATGTACTATAGATTGATAACTTGATACTTGGTATTTGGGTAAGTGAGGGGGATGGTTAGAGTAGTTAATATGAGGAGCCAGTATACATATATGATCGTATAGGTGGAAAATGCATTCTTTGGATATAGTAATAACTGTTTTGCATTTGGAGAAGAGATTTCTCTCTTAGAAGAGATTAATAACAGTTTCTTCTCTGATTCTCTTCTATCCGATTTTTCTTTCTCTTAACCTTTTTCTTTGTTTTAGAGGATTTGTCAAATTCCCTGCATTTATCTTCTCTTTTTGATTAGGTTTGCTGCTGAGATCTTCCATGATTTACATGAAGAAGTAATGGCTACCGCTGCAAGAGGCCACAGTCTTACAGCTCGTGTTAAACAGCTTGAGGCTGAAGTTCCTTCACTTGAAAAAGCCTTTTACTCTCAAACTCACCATTCATCATTTTTTACTAATGGAGGTTAGATTTCTCATGCTTAGTTACACTGCATGTTATTGGTGCTTGCCATCATGATTTGAATACTGTTTATCTTTAAAATGATGGTATTTTGGTTTAAGTTGTAACCTTTAGATATAATGATGACTTTTTTCTAACTTAAACAATCTTTCTTATTGCAATGAAGGGATTGATTGGCATCCCAATCTTCAGTCTGAACAAAACCTTGTTACCGGTGGAAACCTACCTCGATTGATAATGGATTCCTATGAAGAATGCCGCGGTCCCCCAAGACTGTTCCTTCTGGATAAGTATGGTGGTCTTATTTATCCAATATATATGATTTCAACATAAATAAAACATTATTATTCTGTGATATATATTTGAAAAATTTTCTTTTTGGCTTTTGCCTTATTTAAAGGTTTGATGTGGCTGGGGCTGGGGCATGTCTGAAGCGTTATACTGATCCATCATTCTTTAAAATGGAGTCAGCTTCATCTGTAAGAGCCACTGTACAAGTCCACAGGGAAAGAAGAATTCGTAAAGTCAAGGTACAAATTTTTTTATTCTACCATTTATTTAAATAGTCTCCTATGGGAGAATGGTTGCAAACGTGTGATCCTAATGAGCTTTGTGCTGTGTAATGTTGGCTGGGATCTTGCTGAAAGTTTGTAAATTATAATTGAAAATTTGAAATCAAATGATGTGAATTATGAAGTCCACATATATGGTGGTGCCTTTGATACATACATATATGACCATATGTGCTATAAGCAGATAAGTGTTTGGTGCTTTTTCTTAATTATTCTAGGGTTGCAATAAAGAACTCTATGCAATGAAAAATTGTATACTTTTGCAAATTTGATTATATAATTATGTTTCATTTCCACAGAAGAAAGGAGCACGGCTAAGGGACGGTGAAACTCCTAATGCTGTACCAACACATTCAAAGTAAGTTCCAATCATTTTGTTGTGGTACATTGGTATTCGACTGGTTATGTCTTTAAATTGTTGACTGGTGTCTCAAATTTATTTCCATCTTTGCAGATTACATCAGCTGCTTCTTGAGGAACGTATTGAGAATGGTTATAGTAATCCAGCTCGCCTAGTGAAGCTGAAGAAAAGACAATTGAATGGACCTGCTGTTGAAGCAAAATCTGGGAAAAGTTACATGGAGAAATTTCTAGAAACTCCCTCGCCTGATCCAAAAATGATTTATGAAACTTCAATCTTTCCACTGCCTGTGAAACCGGCACCAGATGATTCTAGCGAAGCAGGGATTAAAATTCTTGAAATCAGTAGCATTGAAAAGTCGATTGGAGATGAAAACTCTTGTTCACCCCCTTATGAGCCGGAGTTTGAACTTAACCAATTTTCAGAAGAGGTTGGTGAGGCAAATGGAGATCTTGTGATGGTGAAAGAACAAATCTCAGTGGGTGTAAGGGATGAAATGTCTTTTAATGATGTCAAGGTGTCTGATGAAACAGAATTGGCAATCAATGAACAAAAGAAAATAGAAGGCAGCTTAGTTAGGTACAATTCTGATGATGTGACCAGTGAGGTTGACAACTACATGGATGCTTTAACTACCATGGAGTCAGAATTGGAAACAGACGATGAGTATAAACCTAAGAAAAGCTTCTTGAATCTTAAAAAGGCAACAAATGCCAATAATAAAGAACGTCAACTACAAGCTCGATTTTCAGATTCCCAATCATTTGGAGGCTCTTCAACATCTGATGACATTAGCTCATTCAAACAAGAGACAACTGAGGAAGATATTGAAGTGAAAGCTCGGTTATCAGATTCTCACTCAACTGGAACCTCCTCGACATCAGACAATAATAACTCATTCAGAGGAAATGAAGACGAGCATGTGGAACTGCAAGCTCACTTTTCAGATTCTCAATCTACTGGAAAGTCCTTTATGTCAGATTTAAATAGTTCTTCCTTGAAAGGTAAATCTTATTTCCTTCACTCTAATTCATTGAGCACTGTGGTTGAATATGTACAATCAGAACCTATTTTATTCTCAACTACTAAATATTATGAAGCAGAGATTGAAGGCATGCCATCCAACCAACCTCCCGAAATTGTTGAGTTTCAAAATACAGATAATAGAAAGTTTGTCATGCGTGATGATGCCCATGTTCATGAAGACGGGGTTTCTGACTCTCGGCAAACAAATTCTGAGCTGTTGACTTCAGGAAAGATGTTGTGTTCTGATCTTGACCCTACCAAACCAGTGACGCAACCTGCAGTGACTCAGTCAGATGAAAGCGTTTATGACAATATTGAGCTTAATATAAGATTAGGCAATGGTGCCGACAGATCAGATGTTGTTGAATCTGTTGCTTCCAAACCTTCTTCTCCCTCCCTTATAGAAGATGATACGTGCCCCGTGTACTCTTCTGACAAAATTTCATCAGACAACTTGGTTGATGACTCCCTTTGTAATGATTCACAAGAAGGTTCCCTTTGTCCATCCATCAAAGAATTAGACTTGAATTCAGGTCTTAATGTGGTGCTTGACCGCCTAGACTCAAAAGATGAGGATTGTATTGATATTGCACGCCAACTTAATCCAACTGTTGTGAAGGTTCCTCCAGTGAGTTTCCTTAATGGCGAGCTATCTTCTGGTATAACTCACAATAATCCACAGGATGGACTGGGCTCAACAGAAGTTGAAGTTCAGTTTTCTGATCTTCAATCAAATGATGTAAACATACCTAAAATGGTGCATGGCGATGAAATAAATGGATTCAGCAGCAGTGTTGATCCTGTTGAAGGTGATGGTCATATAGAAAATCCATCTTATAATCATGTGATGGTAAATGGTGCGATCACTGAAATTGTTGAGTCAAAAGATCTACCCGATCCTTCTGTTGATAATGCTCAAAATGATGTGGGTATCATTACTTGTCCAGCTTCAAGTATGATTTGTTCTCCATCAAGAAGCCTTTCGAATTCGCAAGAACTAGTCCACGCATCTTCAGACTCTTATCAGATGGAATCCAATGAAGTAGGATTGACTCAAATTTCCATGGACTCAAATACAGAGATGAGCGAGAGTCAATTGGCACCATTGTCAGATACGACATCTAATATCATGTTTTCTCGAATGAGTAATCTCACAAAATTAGAAGAATCTGTTTCTGCTTTTTCAGATCCAAATGAGAAAGAGACAGAAGACCATGAGGCAGTTGCTAGAGAATCTTTGACAGCACATGAGGCAGGTCATCCAGAACTTGTTTCTTCAGATGTACCAATGAACCTTAACAAATTGGTGCCTTGTGATCCTCCAGATTTGGGAAATAGTATTGAAAAGTCACCTCCTAGGAAGAAAATCATACAGAGTGTTTTCCAGGATGATGCGAAAATGGTGCCTGGATTTTCTGGGTTTGACGCCCGGCAGTCAGAATCTATTAGTTATGGTCAGAATGACAGAAATAGTTTTTCATCTACACCTGATAACAAGTTGGAGTCTGAAACTTATTTAGAGCCACACTTGCAATCTCAACTTGATGAACAGAATGGAGAGTTTTCGCTCAAATATGAGGAAAACTTTTCCTCTGAGAAATCTCAATCTCAGCAGATGCATATAAATCAATTGAAACAAGAAGACACACATGCTACTTCTGAATCTGTCTCAGAAGCCCCTGCCGATGAATCACCATCATTTTATTCTTCAGCACAGTCATCTGGCCTGGAAATTAACCCTACAGAATATGTCACAGATCCATTGAAGCCTCTTCTGCCTGATCTCTTTCCTAAGGAAACTGAAAACAAACTTGATGAGATGCCACCTATGCCTCCTCTACCTCCTATGCAATGGAGAATGGGCAAGGTTCCACATGCTTCCCTAGATTCACACAGAGAGGAGTTAGAAGTTCATCCGGCTTCAGTTCAACCAATCCAGCCAGTTATGCCAGATACGAAGTCTCAATTTGGCTTTACAGCTTCTGATGGAAATACCCTATTTCATCAGAATCCATTTTTGCCAGTCATGGCTTTGGAAAGTGATAAGCTCCAACATTCTTCTGCCGTAGGTGTTTCAGGGCACCCAGTTGCTTTACCTTTTCAGTTTCCTATTGTGGTTAATGAAGCAAATGGTCAGTATAATTACTTAGTGCTGGACAGAAACCAGATTCAGAACCCCTTGTTAACGCTGCCCATGGTACCTACGATGCATCCACCTCTTGGTTACGTTGTTGCTTCTGACGGAGAAGTGGTACAGACTTTAAACCCTTACGCACCAATACTACCTGCTGCATACACTGCATCTGGACATGATTCCACATCTCCACAAGTGGACCCATTTCAACATCCAACTCAAGTAATGACAGAAAATAGTGCAGATGATAAAACACTTGAGCAGCCTATAAATAATGTAGTGTGTAGGGATGAGCCTCCAAACAGTCATGTTATTGCTTCTGATGGAGAAATGGTACATAATTCAAACCCATTCCTTCCAATACCACCCGTCGAATGTTCTAACTCAGGACATGATTCTATCTCTCCTATAGAAAACGTGAGTGAATCTCCTAGTCAATTAATGACTGAAACTAGTTCAGATGATACGACACTTCCGCAGCCTATGAATAATGTTATATCTATGGACAGTCACATTGTCATTTCTGAAGAAGAAACGGTGCAAAATTTTAATCCAGGCCCTCCTGTACTATCAGCTGAATCTGCTGTTTCTGACCACGATTCCATCTCTCCGCAAGAAAAACTAACTCAACCTCCAACTCATTTACTGAGGCAGACTAGTTTGGAAGTTAAAACGCCTAATCATTCTGTAAGTAATGTAGAAGGGGAACAGGGACGATTGGGTATTTCACTCATGTTGCCACCAAACATGGAAAATGTAGAGCTAAATCAGAGTTTCCAGCCCTTTGAGGGGGAAATGTCTTCCTTGGGTCCATCTGCTCAAACATCAGATTTTGAGAGTGAAAGAACAAATGTAAAACCAAGGCATAAGATTCCTCGTCCTCGAAATCCTCTAATTGATGCTGTTGCTGCTCATGACAAAAGCAAGGTGAGTCAGTTTCTACTTCTTTTATGACTCAGAATCACTTTTTGAGGTATTAGCCCTTAAATAACACTTTGCCTTTGAACCACTGCAGCTTAGGAGGGCTACTGAACGGGTTATGCCTCAAATAGCACCAAAGGTAGATGAAAGAGATTCATGGTTAGAACAGATAAGAACAAAGGTCCAAACTTGCAACTTGTTTCTTTATACTGATTTTACCCTTTTTCTTTTTTAATTTTCAAAGAAATCTTGTTTTTAAAATTACTTTTTGGCTCTCAGTCCTTCAACTTGAAACCTGCTGTTGCTAAACGACCTAGCATTCAAGGTCCAAAAACAAATATGAAGCTTGCTGCCATCTTGGAGAAAGCTAATTCAATTCGCCAGGTTCTTCCTCTTTCCCCGTTTACTTTATTGTTAACTACTGCCATATCCTCTTACTTGAGGGTCAACTAATCTTGATTGTTGAAATAGGCTTTGGCTGGAAGTGATGAAGATGATGATGCGGATAGTTGGAGTGATTCTTGAATTTACTCTGTCTGGAAACTGTTCTCTGCTGGTGGATATTTTGATACCATCTTTGAACCAGGTCTTAAAAGTCATTCTCCCATGTAATGAATACGAAATAGCCATGAAGTCATTCTAGCTCTTACATGACTCCAAACATATCCTCCTTGATTCTGTTCACATATTTATGCATGAAAATTGGTCCTAGCATGCAAATTAGCATCACTGCGGATCCGTTTTCAGAGGTGAATTCACCTCACTCGAGACAGATAAGTCTCAGCGTGCAAGCGCTGTACTAGTCCAGATCAATCCATCAACAAATACCCTCATGTATACCGTTCATATAAGCTTGTGTATAATTAGTCGTATTTGTCATGAATATCCAATTTTGAAACTCTGTAGTATATAGGGTTTCGTGATGATTGACCTATTTGTTGTAGTTCATCAATGTCCATTGTAGCAAAATCATTTTAGTGTGCAGTTTCTAGCATTACCGTTGTTCATTTATACACTCTCTTTTTATGAGTACTGTCGTCATGTATGAGAAACAATGGAAACATGGCAGTGCTAAATAAAGGGAGATGAAGATGTCGAATGCCTACTTCTGTTTGTGAATGCATACTATATATTAACAAGTTATTTGTTCATAACAAGTCCTTACTAATAATTTACTGTTGTATAATTTTAAAACTTCGCCTTCATGTTGATGGTCATGTTGATGGTAAAGTCTTTTTTTTTTTCTTGGTAGAATATGATAAGCTCTTTATAGTTGTGGAAAGCTACACATTTTTTAATGACGTTTAGTGCATGAAAAATGATACTACTAGTATGATTATTTAAATTAAGGATATGCATAAATATGATTTATTAAACTATATGATTGACCCTTGACCAAAAAAAAAAAAAACACTTCGCGACTGATTGCTATTTACATAATTATTTATTTTAAATAATTTAATCAACTAAATTGGATTTAAAACTTAATTTGAACACTTTTAAATTCTCTAGTCAAAATAATTATTTTTTATAAAATACAAAAAATTATAAAAATAAATAATACTAGTCATTTCAAATTATCTCAAAAATATTGTGAGAAAACAAGAGTGTCAACTTTATGAAACATTTGTTGTTGGCAATTGGCATTATTCAATTGTTAAGCGGTCCCTCCATATTTGGCTTTCGTGGCAACAAATGCACAACAATATAAGATTCCATCAATTAGTCAGCGAAACTTTTATTTAGTAATAGTTTTGAGTAAACTATCGGTTTCAAACCACCGATTATTTTTAATTTATTTAATTCTAATATTTTATACGGCATCATAATCATTCAAATGAAATTGAAATTGAAATTATTATTTTTAAATAAAACCGCGCTTTTAATTACCCAATCATATAAAATACGTCAATGTAATTTATTTAAAGAAAGGTAGTACAATTTCGTAAAATAAATTTATTTGTGTGTCATTACACTGTCACTGTAATTTATTTAAATTCTTTTGTTTAAGAAAGGTAGCCCAATTTTGTAAAATAAATTTATTTGTGTGTAATGTTTTAAATATTTTAGAACACAGAAAATTATTACCGGTTAGTATACTTATTTGAGATTAATTTGAGTACAGTTTCAATCTAAAATAATTTTAGACTGTGATTTAATTAAAATTAATTATTTTAACATATAAGATAAAAAAAACATGAAAAAATCGTAATTAAAATAATTTAATTATAATACATAATTCTATTTTAAATTCAGATACTTAAAATAATTAATTTTAATTGAATGATCGTGTAAAATTATTTTATTATCATGTTTATAATAATATTTTTAAATATTGATAATATAAGGAATCAAACAAACTAATTTACCAATAAAGTTATCTTTTATGTCACGTTCAATGTATCAAACGAACACTTATATTATTTATTAAAAAAAATTGTAGTTAGTATAAAATATAATATAATACTCTTTTTAGAAAAAAAATAAATATCGCATTTTAAATATTATTTATCTCAAAATAAATATTTTTTTTAGTTTATAATACAATTTTTATTTTGATATTTCAATTAATATTTTTAATTTATTCTTTCTCTCACTTTCTATCAATGATAATTAAAATACATTAATAATCAATAAAAATAATTTGATAAAATTAATATTCTTTAATACATTTATTATATTTTCTTAATATATTAAAGTTTAAATATGACACTTATTTTAGGACGGAGCGAATAATAATTAGATATAGCAATAAAAATATGAATGAAAGAAAAAATGACAGATGAAATTTTCGGAAGAGGTGCGAGAATACTTTTCTGTAGAGGTTCCGCAGTTACTTTCCTGGACTCGAAATATGAAACAAACTCGAAGAAGGTAACATCGACGAATACGAGGTATCATTGTATAATATGTGAGTAGCAACGATAACCCTTTTGGGATCGATGAGAGTTAAGAAAGACACATTTTAGTGACCGGGCTGGTAGTTTATCAAGACCAGGGGAGAGATTGTGTACAAAACACGTGGACCCGAAAAATCAAGGAGGAATTGGGTGGGGTTGAGAGTTTGAAAACAAGATTGAATGAGAGATTTTATTATTAAGTACAGATGAGGGCATGCGATTTATGAGGTAACATGCCGTGAGCACCGCATCTCCCCAAAACCAGAGAGGAACATTATCATGGAAAAGTAAGGTCCGAGTGATTTCTACGAGGTGCTGATTTTTGCATTCGGCTACCCCGTTTTGTTGAGGTGTATGAGGACAAAATGTTTGGTGCAAAATACCATTGGATGACATAAATGTTTGAAATTGTTAGGATAAATATTCACGTGCATTGTCACTTCTTAAGGTACGAATAGACAAACCAAATTTGATTCTTATTTCTCGATAAAATTGTTCAAAAATGGAAAACAATTCAGACTTATTCTTCATTAAAAATAGTCATTCGACATTGACCTCTTCATCAACTTGACATAAAAAATGCATTCTTACACAGTGATCTTGAAGAGGAAGTATATACGGAGCAACCACTTGAGTTTGTTGCTCAGGGGGAGTCATCGAATATGGTTTATAGGCTACACAATTCTCTTCATAATCTTAAGCAATCTCCGAGAGCTTGGTTTGGAAGATTCAACACTGTAGTACAACAGTTTGATATGATCCGCAATGAAGCTGACCATTCTGTTTTTATCGTCACTCACCTCAAGGGTGCACTTATCTTATTGTGTATGTAGATGATATTTTCATAATTGATACTGATAAGTAGAGAATACTCCAATTGAAACAACATCTCTCGAAACAAATTCAGACAAAAGATCTTGGTAAAATCTGCTATTTCTTGGGTATTGAAGTAGACCAATCTAATGATGGTTTGATAATTTCTCAGCGAAAATATGCTATGAATATTTTAGAAGAAACACGTTTGTTAAATGCTAAACCAGCCGATACTCTTATGGATCCAAGTGTCAAACTACTACCCAATCAGGGGGAGCCTCTATCTGACTCAAGAAGGTATAAGAGATTGGTTGGAAAGTTGAATTATCTCACAGTTACTCGTCTAGACATTTCTTTTGCAGTCAGTGTGGTAAATCAGTTCTTAAATTTCCCTTGTCAGGAACACATGGATGCTGTTATCCAGATTTTGAGATGCATCAAATGTGCTCTAGAAAAAGGTCTTGTGTATGAGGATAAAAGGCATACCTAGATAATTGGATACTCCAATGCTGATTGGGTAAGGTCACCTATTGACAGACAATCCACCTATGAGTATTGTGTATTTGTTGGAGGAAACCTTATATCCTGGAAAAGTAAGAAATAAAATGTAGTTGCTAGATCAAGCGCCGAGGCAGAGTATATGACCATGCTAATAGCAACATGTGAACTTATTTGATTAAAACAGTTGCTCAATGAACTTCAAATTGAAGAAGTAAGACCAATGACACTTATTTGTGATAATCAAGTTGCATTGCACATTGTTTCAAATCCAGTCTTCTATGAGAGGACCAAACATATTGAGATAGACTGCTATTTTGTAAAAAAGAAGGTCGAGTCAGACGACATCGACACAAACTTTGTTAACTCTAATGATCAATTGACAGATGTGTTTACAAAATTCCTACGAATCCTCAGAACTAACTATATATGTAATAAGCTTGGTGCATTTGACTTATATGCTCAAACTTGAGGGAGAGTGTTGATATTTATAAATATATATAATATTAAGAATATTTGTATATATAATAGTCCTACATCGATTATATCATATAATTAGTTGTAATCTATATATATAATAATGTCTCTGTAGTGTTTTTGAAAATATACAGTTTAATCTAAATGTCTCTTAATCTCGCTTATTTCAACAATATTTACGCTAGAAAAAAGAGAGAGCAGAATAGATATGTTAAACGGTAAAATTCTAAATATTTGACAAGCACGAGCCCATTTTACCAGCTACAATAATAAGAATAATAATGCTCATTTAATTATATATTTTTTTAATAAATATATTAATGTGTGGAGATTTTGGTAAAAAGAGAAAAATAATAATCATTGACTTTGATGATATTAATAACTATTTCACAATTATTTAAAACATAATTTAAACTCTACTATCATTTAATATTACTAAGTCAAACTCTTATAACAACAATGACACATTAATAACACAAATTGCATGTAGCATGTTGATAAACTTATAGTACTATATGATAACCATTGTGAATTGTGATACTAAATAATAGTCAAAAACTAGTGAAAAAAAGAGTCTTAAATTCTTGAATTGATCATGGATGAAAGAGAAGCTTTGAGAGAGAGTATTCTATCTCAAGAACAAGAATTTCATTCTTCTTCTTCTCTAATCTCTTATTTATACGTTGGCCACTTTTTAGCTAGATGGGGTTCCAGGTTCCTTTTGATTTCACTGCCATAAAGTTTTAACCTTTTCCCCTTTTTCTGTTTTTTATAATCGTTCTTTTTGTCATGGAACAAATTATAAATTATCTAAATTGTTTGTTGTAACTATGACTCAATAAAATAATTCAGATTTTTTGTGATCACTGTTAGATTTTTGTTTGTTTGTTTGCAGAATGTGGGAATTCTCAGTTGGTTTATATATGATAAGTATTTGGCCAGACTCGTTGCTGTATGCAGCAATATATGGTGCTGTTGAATCTGCTTCCATTGCAATTTTTGGTCCAATTATTGGAAAATGGGTTGATAATTTGACTTATCACAAGGTGTGTGTCATTCTATAATTTAATTGTCATTATTAATTGGGAACAAAGTTAATTTAGTAGAGTTTTATAGGATAATCTATAGATATATCTTTGAATTAATTCAGGTTTTAAATCGCAGTTGTAGTCGTGTCTCAATACTCAGGGTCACGTTGTGGTTGCGTCACGGCCGTCTTAAGTTTTCAGAGGCCAGACGTAAATTAGCCAAAGTTTAGCTGTGGCAAAACAAATAGGGCCCTAATTTGTTGACAAATCTTTTATGAAGTCCTATTTAGCCACTAGTTAACCGTGTTAGATTGTGAGCTGTGTACGGTAGCCTGTTTTGCACGCTCTCAAAGACGGCTCTGGGTTGCCTAGACATTCAATGTTTTGATGTTGTTGCCGAAATCGCGGTTGCAGACCTTATTTTGAAACCTTGAACAAGTTATCTTTCACTTGTGTATTTCAAATGACTAGAGAGTTCTTCAAATAGAGTGAATGAATATCCGAAATCAATTGTGTCTGATTGATAAATCCATGAAGCTAAAAACATACTTGAGATCTTCCAATCCTAACATATGCTTAAGATTCTTTCCATTTACTATACCGAAACAATGAGATATGGACAAAATTTGAAGATAAGAAGTGTAGTTTCAAATTGCTTAAAATAATTCCTTGTTAGTTGTTGTTTATGAGCTTCATTTTTTATTGGCAGGTTTTGAAATTATGGTTGGTGACACAAAATCTATCGTTTATTATTGCCGGTGCCACCGTAGTTTCCTTACTTGTCTTCTCATCTTTGAAGTTTACAAATTTCCCAGTTTTCTTACTACTGGTGGTGATAATCAATACCTGTGGTGGCATTGGTGTACTTTCAACTCTTTCTGGTACTATCCTGATAGAAAGAGAATGGTAACATTCTTTAACTTTTTGAGAAAATTGATTAATACCATGCTTTAAGGAAAGTTATTGTATGAAAATTATGTTTATTTTTGTGTGTAGGTTGTTGGTTATATCGGAAGGTCAACCGCCGGAATTACTGACAAAGATGAACTCAGTTACGAGACGCATCGATCTAACATGCAAGTTACTTGCACCTGTTATAACTGGTTTTATAATAAGCTTTGTATCACTTAAAGCATCTGCTATAACACTAGCACTTTGGAATAGTGTTTCTGTTTGGGTGGAGTATTGGCTTTTTACATCAGTATATAATGGGATTCCGGCTTTGCGTCAAAGTAGCCAAAGGAGAACCGAAAGGCTCTCGCAAAGTGATCTAGAAAGGACTAATTCAACTTCTGAGGGAGATAGTTTGCTTATTGATAGCTCGGAATCGGTAGATGTAAAAAGCAGGACAGGATTTTCCGAGTGGATTTCGAAAATCTCGTATGTTGATGCTTGGAGAGTTTATTTACGGCAAGAAGTTGTCTTTCCTGGACTAGCTCTGGCTTTGCTGTTTTTCACTGTACTCAGCTTTGGAACTTTGATGACAGCCACTTTAGAATGGGAAGGTATACCTGCGTATGTTATTGGAATCGCGCGAGGAATAAGCGCTGTAATTGGAATAGCTGCGACAGTTTTATATCCTGTTCTACAGAATCATATATCGGCTATTAGAACCGGACTTTGGTCTATCTGGTCTCAGGTACATACTCGCAAATTACTTCAAGTGCTTTCGAAAAGTGACGCATTATGCACAATTTTAAAAAACGGTCTGCGATACTGATATGTGCTGCCGGATCAAAGTTTTTTTTGATATTTTAAACTTTGGTTATACTAATAATTTCTAGTCAAATATTTACACGGTAATGTATTATTTGGGTGCAGTGGACTTGTCTACTACCTTGTTTAGCTGCAATTTGGATCGAAACTGGCATGTCGTCGTCGTATATTTTGATGGGAAGTGTCGCAATATCTCGGCTTGGATTGTGGATGTTTGACTTATCCGTACTTGAACAGATGCAGGCAAGAAATAACGGCCCGTAGTTTTCCATATTGTTTCAAATTTGAAATCTTCGTTAAATGTCTACGATGAATCAAATTTCCTTTTCTTCTTAATCATCTTGGCCTGATTATTTGTATTTCAATTTTCTTGTAAATAGAGCCTTGTTCCTGAATCGGATCGTTTGATCGTTGGAGGCGTTCAGAATTCACTTCAGTCCTTCATGGATTTATTAGCCTATGTTATGGGAATCATAATATCTGATCCAAAGGTGAGTTTCAAAACTGAAGAACTGGCTATAATTACGATTTACGTACATACAAATAATTCACTAATTTCATTTTTATGAACTCAAGTAAAGAATTGGCTATACTTTTGGTTTTGATGCTTCACGAAATCGAAGATGTACTGATTCTATCATCTAAATGTGTGTCCAGGAGTTCTGGAAGTTGAGTTTATTATCATTTCTGGCTGTCACGTTAGCTGCATTCCTCTACTGCATCCATGTGTTCCGCGTGCGGAAGCATATCTTTCACTTTGAAAAACTTATCTGGTGTAATTCTTCTGCATGAGCACCGAAAGTTGCGCGGAAGCATATCTTTCACTTTGTCAAACTAATCTGATGTAATTCTTCTGCATGAGAATCGAAATTGTGAGGTGAACCAAGATAAATTGAGACCTAAAGCAAGACGAGGTCTCAGAGTAAATAAATCACAAGGGAGGTTTGTGTGCAATTTTTGTTAGACATGGTAAAGTTGGAACCATTAAAATAGTAGGCTACATAAGAGGATGAGGTCTTAAAGTAAGGGCTTGAGAGCCTCTTGTATTGTGAAGCCTCTTGTCATCTATATTAACTTGAAATCTACTAAAATTGATCATCCTTTGTTTATTGTAGTCTCTAAAATTTACTACCTTCCTCTCATTAAATTAGCAAAAATAAATTGTTGCTTTATGATTTTGTTGAAATATATAATTTTCCTTTTATCATTATTCTATTTTTATGGTTGTTTATGTTGAAATATAATATATTAGTTCTTTTTTTAATAATATTATTGTTTTTTTAATATTATATTTCTCTTAAAATTAAGGAATTAATTGAGTGTACTTTTTTTTTTTGACACAAACAAATTCAATTCATATAATTAATCAAAAGCTCTTTAATACAAAGAGGATACAAAGAGGAATCAAATGGAAAATACAACCTTTAGTTTAAAAATTGCCTGCTTTAATTAACATGAGGACAACCGAATTCGCTTGACGTTTAACAAACTTCACCTCAAAGTTGGAATGAGAATTTAGGAGGTTCTTAATACAAGAAATAATTAAACTAAATACAAAATTACCACTATAGTTATTGTGTAATGCTTGCATCACCAATTGAGAGTCACTTTCAAAGATAACACGATCTAACTGCATATGAATGACTATCTGCATTGCTTCCTTTAAGGCAACACATCTCCCTCTATTACAAATAGTAGCACACCGCTTCCTTTAAGGCAACACATCTCCCTCTATTACAAATAGTATCACATCTAAAAAAATACGACCTTGCGAGGCACATTGCATGCTCGTGGATGGACTAATAGAGTCGCCACCGAATTTTATTTACTTCTAAGAAAAGAAAAAATAACAATAAAGCTCTAAGGAAAATAAAAGGGATAAGATGGTCATTGCAACCAAATATGTTTTTGAGAGTTAATTATGCGAGGATAAGATATTAACACCATTCACATCCTCGTATTTAACGAAAATCTCCTAAAATTCTAAGGTCGACTGTTTGATAAAAGTCTATTTCTTTTATTTTATTTTATTTTATTTATGAAAATATATTTACAAAAAAAAAAATAATTATAAAAGAAAAGAGAAAAAAAGAAAGTTTTTCTAACAAGTGAAAATGGCTGAAAAACCACTATGTAAACACACATAGACCTTGACAAGACACTTTCTTATGAGCAAGGCTCGCTAAGCCAAGATTATAGAGTGCATTTAGCGAGCACAAGTGGCCAATAAGACTTCATGGCTAAGTAACTTCATGGCTAAGTAACTTCATGGTGAAGTATTGAACCTTGCTAAGCCAATATCACAAGTGGGCCTAAAAAATGGAGTTCATAATTTCAAGGATAAGTTACTTCATGGTGAATGAAAAGTTTGTGTGCTAGTCGAAGATGGACGGTGTACCTAAATAGCCCATACTTTTCAAGCCTATAAATATGAGTTCCATTTTCAGTTCAAGGAGAGTTTCATTGGATTCAAGGTAGTACAAAAATAAAGTTGATTCACCTTAGTCTCAATAGGAGAAGAATATTGAAGGCAAAAACGCTTCTCGAGAGATTGCTAAAGTTGTTATTTCAACTCTTTCTTATAGGGATTACCTATACAATTATGCTGAGTAAGTTTAGCTAAAAATATATTGTTGAGAGTAGATATAATCATCATTATATTCATGTATTCATTGTGGTCATGACATTTTATATAATTCTACTGAAGCTTTAATAATAATGATTTTTCATTCTTAATGATTTTGGATTAACGACCTAAACCATGTCCTTGTGGCATGACTTGACATACAAAATTATTGGTGATTACTATATCCAAGTCTCCATATATTAGATGCTAATTTCTAGAAATACAATTATGTTTAATATCTGCACGAATAACGATATTGATAAAAGACAGATTGATATCTGCAATACCTGTTGAAATAATGTTGTTGTATTTGTTAATTGGATTTAAAGGAGGGAAGAGAGAGCGCGCTATATGATCTTAAAAAAAAAATAAAATTGAAATTTTGATGAAAAATAGAATTAGAAGGTATTATCCATCCATTGAGGGCAAGGTTTCACTATCATCACCAATGTACTAATTGTGCTGAGAATTACATGAAAGTAATTCATAAATAAAAGTGTACTACTAAACTAAAATAATAAATTTTCATATACTTAATTGTGCAAAGAATAGCTATTTTTATCATTCTCACACAATATAAATAAATAAATTGAAAAACTTATTAATTAAGAGAGAGTTCAAAAATTATGTTCTATGAATAACGTATAAAAACATTGAGTTTACATAAATTAAAAAACCAAGGATGCTTTAATTTCATTATGTTATTTACACATAAAAGATCATTGAATAAATTATTAATTATTAAAGCTACTAATAAAATATTTTATAATTTAAATAAACTATTTTGATGTTAAAAAATTCTCGTGTTTGAACATTCATGTGAAGTTTAATCCTTTAATTTTAAAACAAACTTGTAATTTGACGAGGAATAAAATAACTCCTATGTAATTTCACCCCATTTTTTTGTCATTGGGTAAAAATGGAGTAATATATTTCTTTTACAAATTTATTAGTTTTTAATATAATAATAATCTACTCAATTATAATACATGTTTATAATTATATATTACACATAGCTTTAAGTATTTATCAATCTATTTATAATATTTAAAATTTTAAAATTGATTTTAGATATTAAGCTATTGATAAATAATATAATTTTATATTCCTTTCTAAATTCAATAGAAAATGAAAATTATTTTCAAAATTATTTTATTGATTACTTTATTTATATAAATCTAACCTATTGATTTTACTTTAATATCCAATTTATAAATTTATATAAATTTATTAGTCAAATGAGATATCTGAAAATAATAATGCTAATGCGTTTTTTAAGCCTATATAATAGAAGTTATGTTAGCCTGAGTCGTTACAAAGAAATATCATATATGTTTGAAATCTTATAAAATGGTCGGCCACGCCAATCAATTTTATCTTTTGAGTGTTCTATGTCTTGTTATTATGGTTAGTTAAGGGAAGAAGTTGAATTTTTTAAGTTTTTATTTAAATAAGATATCTAGTTCAATAACAATTCAATTATAATTTAGTCGATTCATAAGTCGGAATAACATTAGATTAAAGTTTTTAATGTAAAAATGAAGAAGTAATGTCACACCATACTAATTTTAACTTTTTGTTGATTCATGATTGATTATCAGTATTTTGGTTGAGTTTGTATAGTGCCTTGCGTTGCATTGTGCGACCTGGATTGCCGCCTTAAATTTTAAACATAATCATCACACAAAATAAAAGAGGTTAAATAATATACAAAATTTTTAGTGCCTCTCAATTCAATAACCAGTTTCAAAGTTACGTGGAGAGAAAAGACTACCTAGCTTATTTACCTTTATGTCCAAATGTGCTCTTATTTTTCAGATATGAGAGGTTTGAAAAAAAGGATACATTTATGCAAGTTGAAGGATGCATTGGCCATTGTGATTTTTCCAACGTGCAAATAATTCTTCTTTTTGGTATGATATTAGCAACAAAATATCACAGAATTCATTATAGTAGACAACAAAGAACAATGATAGTCATACATAGGAAATGGAGTTGTTTAATAGACTATTTAAGGAAATGAATAGTCTTTTAATAATAATTAAAAAGTAAATAGGGGAAAGAAAACGAAAGAGATAATTTAAAAACAATAAAAATAAGGGTAATGTTAACTTGTGCCTTTGAGACACATGTTAAAGCTAAATTAAGAAATATCATCTTGGAAATTGTGTACAAACTTAAATTAAAATATAAAATTAATTTTTAAATTGTTCTTTTCAATACAAATTTACTAAAAGTGGTTTGCTTAACATGTGCCCCAAGAGCACAAGTTAACATTACCCTAAAAATAATGACATTACACGGAAGGGAGAGGAAGGGAGAGAGAGGGAATGCTATATGCTATTAAACTAAAATAAATAAAATTAAATTGAAATATTTATGACAAAATTGAATTGGAAGGTATTGAACAGACAATCCATCCATAGAGTTCTAAGTTTCACTATCATCACCAATGGACTATTTGTGCTGAGAATTACAAAACAATAATTCATAAGTATAAGTGTAATGTTAAAACTACAATAATAACTTATCATATACTTAACTGTGCCAAGAGTAACTATTTTTATCATCCTAGCATAATATAAATAAATAAATAGAAAAAACTTATTAGTTAATTGAGAGCTCAAAAACTATGTTCTATAAATAAAGGAAAAAGACATTGAGTTTTGATAAATTGAAAAACCAAGTACGCACGCCATAATTTCATTAGATTATTTACGCATAAAAGATCATTGAATAAATTATAAATTATTAAAGCTAATATTAAAATATTTTATAATTTAAAGAAATAATCTGATGTTTAAAAAATCTCGTGTTTGAACATTCATGTGAAGTTTAATCGTTTAGTTTTAAAACAAAGTCGTAATTTGAAGAAAAATAAAATAACTGCTATGTCGAAATGCATGCGATGAACAGTGAAATCGATAGAAAATCCCCAATTTCAAACCCTAATCCCAATTTCTTAACCCTAACCCTGTACTTTCTTATTCCTACCCTTGTAATTTATCATCGTTTTTTTGTTTTTTCTGTTGATCTATAACTGCTGGCTCTGACCCTACGAAGATTAGGAGGTTACCTTCGGCTTAAATTCCTAGCTTTCGAGTTTAGGGCCCTTGGTAACCGCCTGAGATTCTTGGATTGAGACAACGGTGTTTTGTGATGGTTT